TATATATATATATATATATATATATATATCTATAGAGAGAGAGAGAGAGAGATTTAAAAAAGAGATATATAGATACACCACCAGATAAGTGGCCAGTGGTCTTACAGAAACACCCCATCTCCACAGTGAGCATTAGAAAAATCTGCAGAATTAGTGCCAAGATAAAAAAATCCAGAATACCTGACCATGCAACACCTTCCAGCTAGGTGGGATCCTGAAACACAATGCAAAGCAACTGCAAAAGAAAAAGGCAAAAAATAGATATAGTATAGTATGTCCACTTACCCCAGTCAAAACAAATAATGTTTGGAGAATCACCACAGGCAGAAGATGATACCTGACCGAGGAAGATACAACTAGGTCATGCAAATAATTAAACGTTAAACAGCTGATGACCTTCCACTAACAAGTCAGATTAAGCTGGTTGTAAGAGCTGCCGAACCCAGCCTGGGATTCCATGGAATAAAGAGGTCGAGAACGGTAACCACGAAGGTAGTCAGTACAAGACATATAACAATGAAGGGAATGAACTGGACAAAGAAGATGATCCAGATCAGATCGAGTGAATAGATGGGAAATGGAAGACAAGAATATAGGAGAAAAGGAGAAAAAATCTTCAGGAGCAATGGATGTTTTAGGAAGGAAGGAACAGTCGGGATAAAGGAAAATATATGAAAAATGGTAAAGGGTGCAGGGAGCATTAATAGCATAAATATCAGAATAACAACAAGCTAGGAGGAGAAGGAAATAGGTCTTAAGAGAAAGATGGTACAAAGAACATGTAGCAATGGGTTCAAAGGGAGAATGAGCCAGGGCATGAAGAACCACATCAAGATCCCAATCTGGAAGCACAAAGGGATGGTGTGAACGAACAAGAGGAAAAGAATGGAAATAATGGGGGAGTAGAAGAATTTATGAAAATGGGAAAAATGGAAAGTGTTGGACAGGGCAACCTGATAACTAAAAACAGTGGACACTGAGAAACCCTGATCAAAGAACCAGGAGGTGATGGACCAAACAAAAGCCACACGAGAAAGTCAAGTTTGGAGATGTTGGGATGAAATATGTCCAATCAAAGGTGTTGGAGGAGCGACTCTGATTGAGTTAAGGGCAAGGGCTGTTGCACCAGTAAGGGCCAGAGCAAAGAAAACCAGGACTGAGTAGGCAAGTACAGAGCAACAAGCAATACATAACAAGTAGTGGTCTGGATGATAGAAACTATATTGTCTGATTGGAGGGTAAGCATACAGATGAAGACCTCTCCAATCCTGACTGAATGTATCCACCCCAGAATTGAGGGTTGTGTACTTGAGACCAAAAGGAAGAAAGTTTAGCATTCAAGTGAGTGGCAAATATATCTATATTTGGTGTTCCTAGTCGAGAGCACATTCACTGATAAAACTGATGATGAAGGAACCACTCTGTCAGAAGAACTTGGTTGGGATAGAATAGGTGGTCTGCAACCAGATTCATAATCCCAGGAACATGACACACCAAAGACTGTTATGTTGTAGTCATGGGCCCAGTACAGGAGGTCAAGTGTTTGAAAGCACAGACTTCCTAATCATTCAGTGATACAGCTAATGACAGTGGAAGAATGGGAGGAAACGACTGAAAGCCTGACAAACTTCCAAAAGTTCCAGAAGGTTGATATGGAAAGTAGTTTCCTCGATGGGCTGCTGACTCAAAATTTCCCGAGAGTTGAGGGAATCCCCCCAACCCAACAATGAAGCATTGGTGAACAGATGAAAGTCGCGATGAGGTAGAGAAAGAGGTACCCCTGCTATGGTGAAAGCCCTGTTGAGCCACCAAACAAGGTCAACCCTGATCCATGGGAAAGGGTGATAGAATGGTCTAAGGGATCATAGGAGAATTTCCACTGCTTGAGAAGCATCCACTGAAGGGATTGCATGTATGCTTGATTGAAAGAATGAAAGCTTCCAGAGAGGCCCACATCTTCAAAAGAGATAGAACCTTTTGAGCAGTAAGAGAATAACAAGATAGTGCATAAGTGACTGTCCTGGAAATGAAGTGGAGAGGGCTGGGCCTGACCAAAATGGGAATTGAAGTGAACCGTCAAATGAATAAGGCATTGTGTGGGGGTTAGAAAAGACTTCTTCAACTTGAGAAACCCCACTGCAGCAGACTCCTAAAAAAGGAAGTGGGTGTGAGTGACTGGGCCTGGGAAGAGGCAAGCAGTAGCCAGTCATCTATGTAATGATAAATCCGAAAACCCAATGAGTGAAGATGACATGTAAAAGAACAGACAAAATGATGGAACACATAAGGAAACAAAGCAAGACCAAATGGTTGTGATCAGTACAGAAAGACGCACCCTGTGTGGACAAACCAAAATAATGGAATGACTCCAGAGCAATGGGAATATGAAAATAAGCATCTGTCACATTGAATTTGGTCATCCAAAGACCTGGGGAAAAAACACACTGAAGGGAGAGGTAGAATTCCATGGTGAATCGTGGTGTTGCCAGAAAGGAATTCAGCCAGGAAAGATCAATGATAGGTCTCCAATCTCCCATCTTTTTGATGACAACAAACAGACAGGAGTAAAATCTTGTAAGAATTAGCACCACCCAATCGATAGCTCCTTTGTGAAGAAGGTCTTGAACCAGTTCTGCTAATGACTGGATGAGGCACGATCTTGAGAAGGAGGAAAGGAAACTGGGATAGAAGATAGGGAGAAGGGTTTGGAAGCAAAGGCAAAGACCCTTGCACAGAACCTGTAAAAACTCATGGATCTGTCATAAAGAGTTCCCAGATGGTTGAAAACTGTTGTAACCTGGCCCCCACTTGCTCTTGAAAACACATCCCATCACCAATAACACTGACCCCAGTGGGAACAGAAAGAATGAGCATAAGGAAGGGAATACCTGGAGTAGGGTAAGGAATGGGGACAGCAAGAATGGGCAGGGGGAACCCTAACAGGTGAAGATTGGGCAGAAACAGTAGGATGAGACAAATGAGAGGAAAAGGAGGAATGTAGCCTTGCCACAATGACCCGAGACTCAGGGTGACCCCCAAAAACTGTTTTCCAAAGAA